TGGAGGAGAAGTTGTAAGAAGAGGAGGAGGAGGAGGAGAAGAAGGTAACAGCAAAGCAACAATCTTCTGGCGCAATAAGAGAAATGCTGAAAGCATGGGAAACTGTTGCATCGTACATTGAGAAGCATCACACTAATAAGGCAGTGGCTATGCGCACTACAAATTTATTTAATGATAATGCTGTGTCGCATTTTCACCAAATTTTGAAGCGTCGGCAAAAACAAATGTCTCTAGACAGCTTTCTAGTAAAAAATAAATAGATATGTATCATAAATAACAAACTAATTATTGCGATTTTTTTTTTGTTTTCTGCAAATTGAATTCTGCATAGAAGATAAGATGAAGATGATTCATGCTCCTTAACAATGTATATATAATTTTCTTTGAATAAACGTTACACATAAAATTTTTCGAGTATTTTTTTCGGCATGGAACACATTATTGTATTTTACATTAATTTATATGGGAAAAACTGTTTCGCTTAACGAGTGTTTCACATTACGAGTAAGATTCTGGTACGAATTATGCTCATTAAGCGAGGTTCCATTGTATTACCTTTCATGAACAAGTTCCATAATTTTGACTAAATATAAAAGAAAGGTCATAAGAAAGAACCGAATTAAGCTTTAGTGTCAGGTAACAGGGGATTTTAAATCTTCCAATACTATACTGGCAGCCAGTTTTAACTTTGGGTAACAGGTTATTGTCTGGGAACAGAGGATTTTAGCTCCTGCAGCAGTGTTTCTCAACTGCTGGGCCACTGCCCCGTACTGGGCCCTGGAATCAATTATACAGGGCTCTCATCTTATTAGAAAAAATTACCAGGCCACAGTCTCACAAAGGTTAAGAACCACTGTCTTACATTACTCTGGGACTGGTGGCTGTATTTTATCCTGCATACTGAAAAGTGCAGTGTTCAGACAAAACCAAGTATATGCACCATTGTAATGCAATACAGACCATTCTACAACACTGGAAGATGAAAAGTACATAGTTTCTTTTTTAGTTTCTTCAGGTGGGATGAGACTGAGTCCACATGCTATGCTGGCCATTGTTTGGTCTACTGTACCAGTCCCAGATGATACATGATGAGTACGGAGCAGTCGGTGGAATGGCAATGGTCAGGGAAAACCAAAGTACTCAGAGAAAACCTATCCCAGTGCCACCATGTCCACCATAAATCCCACATGATCTGACCTGGGCTTGAACCTGGGCCAGCACGGTGAGAAGCCGGTGACTAACCACCTGAGCTAAGAGGCCTCCGTAGTCTAGAGGTAACGTTCCCACCTCATGACTCGTAGTACGCGGGTTCAAATACCTGGCGGAGGTCGTCGAATTTTTAAGGGCGGAAAAATTCAGGGAACAAGTCCTCCGGGAGGGACTTTAAGCCGTGGGTCCTGTGTTGTAGCTTTACGGCACGTAAGAGAACCTCATATTTCCAAAGGAGGTCACTGAGCCAAATTAACGACGTTTCCCGCCCAACAGCAGTCTCTAATACCTCTGGTAGATGGGGGAAGCATTATAGATACCTCTCAGCTAGTAGAGCCGGTCTCGCTGGCTTGGCGGGACTGATGGTAAGCACCAGTACCGGTAGGATATAGAGACTGGTAGAAATCATAGAGGGAAGCACAATGGACCAATACAGGTCTCAGTGCATGGGGAAACCCACCCTCTCCAATAACTAACTAACTAACTAACCACCTCAGCTATGGCATGGCCTTGAAAATTATGTAAAACAAATGCATAATGGGGGGGGGGTGTTTGAACATGATGAAGGTTTTAACATTCGTAATTTTCCACTAGATAAAAGGACCAGACAGGGATGTTTCACGTTGCTATATTGGCATTATTAAAGCAAACAGCTGTCATGTGCTTCCTTCTACACTTCTTCCGTGCTTTCTTTGTGAAGAAGATGGGATAACTGGAAGAGAGAAACTTTGTTTTTAAAATTTCCAGAACACATGAAGTCTTGAATGAGACACAGTGGAATCAATCATATACTATCTGACTTAGGAGTTATTTCACCATCTAGATCCATCTACATGGCAAAAAACTACTTAGTCATATCTACACAGTGCAACAGGAAATATAACATTAACAAGACCATATACTAATTTTCATGGACATTCATCAGACAAGGCTGTCTTTGGATCATTTAAATTTAGGCATACAGCCTGTAAAAGTAAACTGACTTGTAAACTACACTGGAGAAAAGATAGGTGCAGCCAATTTAAAGGAAGCCTTCATAACTAGAACAGTATAGCACGTTTTGAGATACTAGGAATTTGGCTATTCTCCAAAACTGTGTTTGCTGATTATTATTTTAAAAAATTTTCTCTCACCGACATGTCTCTGAATAATGTTGAAGGCCAAAGTCCACATGAAAATTCTGAAATGCTGTTAGATTACCTTCCTCTAATATTCCTGACATTCGAAACATACAGGGTCTACCAAAAAATATGCTGGGATTTCAGGCACCTGTAGCTTAGGAACAAAAACAGATACGAGGGCTATGCAGTATCTTATTCATCAACTGAAAGTTTTTATACACAAGTGGAAATACTGCTAGGTGGGGGGGGAAGTAAATGCTGTCCCTGTAACAGGCCATGAATGCCCATAGGGCTGTGAGACATCGAGGCTCCCACATTTTCCAGATAATTGGCTCACAGATGGTGGTGAGGTTGTCAACCTTATATGCTGGCCATGCTTTACCCTCAGGAAGATTCCTGGTACCCATTTCTGTAAGAGGCTGAGTCAAAAGCAGGGCCACAGTGCAGCTGGAAGGATTAGGTCAATTAAAAAATCCAATGACCTCATCGGGATTCAAACCTACAACCTTCCAGCCAGTATCATACTGCTTCAACCAACTGTGCTAACAGGCACCCCCTGTTAGGTGCAGAACATTTCACAATGAGAGCCATATGCAGTTCTGTATACATCCCACCTATAGACCACCACTTGTCAGAAGTGCTGTTAACATCTCCTTTGTAAAACTTGCAAATCCTGCAGTGATCAATGTTTTGAGTTCATCAAGCATATTCACTTCAGCTGGTTCAGCAGTATATAATCACAAAACACAATATCAAAGCGTATACGGAAAAGAGCATACCTGCCTCTCTCTTTTCTTCTCTTCACGCTCTAACTCCTTTTGCTTATCCTCCCACTGCTTCTTGCCTTCTAGATGTTTCTTTAACTGCAAGGTTTTCTTAAAAACAAAATTACACGGTTAGTACCCATCCTCATGATAGCATACCATTCAGTGTTCATTCTACACTGTATATAGCTAAAAATGAACAGTACAATAAGCAAAAAAACAAAACAAACTCTGTGGCCTGTAGTCTGCAAGCAAACTATACTGACCAAGGTGAATCTAGTGCCAACTTTTGCAGATAGAGAGTGTTGCGTGGTCAGTGCAATGGATCCCTACGGCTGTTAATCTCGGTTTTCTATAGACTGGAGCCACTATTTCCTTGAAATAGCTCCTCAATTATCCTCACAAGGTTGAGTGGACCCCATCCCAGACCCATTACTTCTCAGAAAATCTGGTGGTGCAGGGAATCGAACCCGGGACCTCTAGATCTGTAGCCAGGAACTCTGACCACTAGGCCACAGAGGCGGTCAATGAACAGTACAATACATATATCATTATAATCTTTAAGCCTTGATGGATGGATTACTAATTACTGTAAACACATGGAAATCATATCTATTCAGTAAATTCCCCATTTTAACACAATCTTGCTTATACAGGGTGATTCACGAAGTTTTACCCCGGCTTATGGTACATATTTCTGGGGTTATTTCCTGCAAAATTTCCTTATAAACTTTTGGTCGATTTTCAATAGTTATGGAATAACAATAGATTTTCAAAACACATCAATGTGAATGCAGCGCTATGCTTCCCCCCTGGGCGACCTTGCGTTCCAGTCAGCTGTGTCAGCAGATAAGCTGACCGGCTGGAATGTTGCACGATCCTAGGCAAAGCGATCCAGTAGTGAACAGGACGTTGGGTTGGTGACTGTGAAGTTAAGATGCCGTACACATTTTCCACGGAGGAATATGCCAATATGGTGTTTGTTTTGGGTGTATGTGATGGAAATGCGAGAGCCACTACTGCCGAATATCACCGGCGTTATCCTATTCACAGGATTCTGAATCCTAAATCCATTAGCAGTACATTCAGCACATTAAGACAAAGTGGTTCTCTCTTCAGCGTTCGTATACAATATGAATGAAATCCTCTACATGAATTGTGCGAAGAAGAAACCACTCTCAATGCTTTAGAGTGCATTCCTTGTGCCAGTACAAGACATCTAGCTCAGCAGTTTGGTGTTTCTCAGTCCATGGTGTGGAGGACTCTTCATGAGAACAGGCTGCATCCTTATCATTTACAACAAGTACAGCACCTACAATGAGGAGACCATGCTCTTCGTCTGCAGTTCTGCAACTGGTTAAATGGAAATCGGCAGTTGTACCGCTTGATAATGTTCTGTGATGAGGCACAATTTACACGAGACGGGGTCAACAACAGTCACAACTTACATGTTTGGGCAGACAATAATCCCCGTGCCACGATAGAATCGAATTTTCAACACTGATTCAGTGTCAACATCTGGTGTGGTGTTCTGTATGATCAGCTAATCAGGCCGTTCATTTTATTGCATTTGGTGCTGGATGAAGGACATTGTGTACCAGGTAAAGGTACAAACGTGAAGAGTTGCTTGAATGTATACTGGACATGGCGATGACAATAAGGAAAAAACTTGTGGAACTGCGAAATGCTACGAGCGCAGTTCATACGCTTGCGACGTGTTGTGTTGACGTGCAGGGAGAAATTTTTGAAAATCTTATGTAAATCCAGTCGTTGTCTAAAGCACTAGTTTAAAGGAAACAGACTGATAGAAGGGTGTGATATGCAACCATTGGTATGTTTACAGAATGGGATGCTGAAAATAATGTAATTTTGTAACATAAAATTGATGAAAAATGTTGCACAAAGCAAAATTAACTGAAAAAAAAAAATGGTTTTAGAATGCTTCTTTCCTAAAACATTAACGATTTAAAAAGCGTTTGTATTGTATTTCTAATTTGTTTTGACTGAAATTCGAAGAAATCGCCAGTTTTCAAATTACTGTATCTCTTTAATTATGACTTGGATACCATTAATATATTAACATTTTTTGTTCCAAATTACCTCAGGAATGCCCTTCCTAAGTGGGGGTAAAACTTCGTGAATCACCCTGTATAGCTCAGTACCCTCACCAGCTGACTACTTTGCAGCAATGCAAGGGCCTTCTACAATGTGCATTTTTAAACCAACATAACATGCAATTTGAAAACCACAGCAAAACTGCTTTCCAGATAGCAGTCTCCAGGAAAAAAATTTGAACTCAGGGCTTCCAAAATATGAAGCTCAATTGCCATCAACTTGCCTGTAATACTCAGTCATTACTTTTGTTACTTCAATCAGTTTTGAACATTGCACTACATATTTCCAACTAGTAATATGTAGAACAGAAAAGTGTGTTAAAATTCAATAGACTATACGTATTTTAATACATAATTGCACATGTTCTTTGTCATAAGGATATATAGACAGATATGTTACCTTCCATTCTTCAATTTGTTGTTTCTTCTCTACTGAATCCTTCTGATATTGCACTTTACTTCTTAGATTTAATTCTACTGATTGAGAATTTGTATTGTTTTCTTGGTTCATTTTATTCTTTAAAGTTCTCCATTTCTGAATGGCTTGTTTTTGTTTGATTTTCAGAATTTCATACCGCTGATACCACTGTTCATGTAACATCATATCTTCTTCTGAAATATCTGCAACAACAAATGTGCACTATTAAAAATGTACCATGAATCTCTTAAGAGCATCCTATATTCCTATTTTCAATTTCTATATAGTAACAGGTTACAATTTTTGCCACTGCTACTACTGAAGTCCACTGATCACAGCGGCCATGTGGTCTAAGGAATGAACTATCTTCGCTCACTTGAACGCTGGGATCTTGATGTCTGTGTGTGTTCATTCTGTGCTTGTGGTGCTGTGTGTGTAGGTAGCAGCATTGGGACAGGCTGATCCTGTTGTGTTGTTGTGTGTATAGGTAGCAGCCTTGGGACAGGCTGATCCCCTGTCCAAGGGGTCCTACCAACTGCGTATAAGATTAAGAAACTGAAAAAGCAGCCAAGGTCCAACAAAGGGCTGTATAGCAATAGAGACAGATAGACTGCTGAAGTCCTAGCATTCCACTGCACATTTATACTATCAACAACCAATACTTAAATTTGAAAATTCTTCAAATGTAAATAAACAATTATTGTTTCTGTTAAACTATGAAAAAAATTAAAACATGTAATTTATAAATCTGTCCTTTCTTGACAAACACTGGTACGAATGTCGTCAGATAAAATGTTACTAAGATCTTCTTTATCACTTGTAATTAGCTCTGTGATTAATTCCAGGATTATTTTACAAGGCTTTCTCAACTGCATAAGTATTGAATGGTAGGATAACTGTGTGAATAGTTGGAAAGGATTTGGAAGAAAACATTCATGGTATATTTTAAGGTCCTGCCTCATTTTATGACTGGACTAAGGGGAGGAACCTCAGTCAGAGTAGCTGGTTTCACAACCAAATTCAGACCCAGGTAAGGTAAGGCTGACTTCTTGTGCTTAAATAAGTATCATGCCATGAAGACATTGGTAGAGTGGAGGTATAGCTCCGTGCATTCATAACCTTGGAGGTGAATGGTGAGTTTCAAGCTCTGGCTACACCACCATTGGGGAAAGAACTCCCAGTACTCACTGGATAGGATGCAGGATGGGTCACTGGTCTTGATTATGTGATGAAGAGAAAAAATCCTTATTTCTGCTGGGAATAAAACCCCAGTCATCCCACCCATAGCAGAGTCATTATACTGATAAAGCTATCCTGTATTAAATGTATACTTGGGGGCTGTCAACATAACAATTGATTATAAACCGATATTCAAATGTTTTTTAACATTTGGGTTATTTTATTTTCATACCACTGCATGTTTTGATCTACAAAGATCATCAGGTGGTGTTTCCGTGAATACATATCCTTACTGAATTATCAAAATGGACCCATTTTTTTCATTTATCAGTAATATAACAATCTAAATTTTAATTTTAAGTTTTTATGTAAGACATGTCTCGAATAATCTGTTAAATTTAAACGAGTTAAAGGTTAAAATTTAAAATATAATAAAAGCAAGTAAAGTAAAGTAAAGTAAAGTAAAGCTAACCCTGTAACAGGCCGTGAAGGACCATAGGGTTGTGAGACGTTGAGGGTCCCACATTATCTAGACAATTGGCTCAAAGATGGTGGTAAGGTTGTCATCCTTACGTGCTGGCTGCGCTTTACCCCCGAGGAAAATTATTTAATTAATTCTTGATACTCATTTCTGTCAGAGGCTGAGTTGACTCCAGGGCCACAGTGCAGCTGGAACAATTAGGTCAACTGAAAAAAATCCAATGACCTCATCGGGACTTGAACCTGCGACCTTCTGGCTTGTAGCATAGCCCCTCAACCAACTACGCTACCGGGAGGTGTCAAAATGTGGCTGAGCTCACAGGCATACAAAGCCTTGAAGAAAGCAGTCTTCTGGGATTTGGCACCGTGTATATGTGGTGTTAACCGACGTTTCGGAGGAACGTATCGCCCCCATCTTCAGGGTAGAAGAAAAAGTATAAGAAATCTGCAAGCGACAACACCGTGAGAAACGGTAAAGCAGCCAAATCCCAGAAGACTGCTTTCTTCATAGTCACCGCCGTGAAAGCCTCAAATCTTACATACAAGGCCTTGTTCCCCAATATGACTAGTGCCTTAATTTCAGCAGTTACTATTTCAAGAAGTAACTTAAGTATATACATATTTTTTGTATATAATAATTTCTTCTCACTTTCTGAACAGCCCTCATACCTTGTGTGTGGTTGAGTGTCGGGAGATAACTGAAGTAAGTGAGCTGATATGAGTGAGTGCTCTAGAATCCATTTCGATAATTCAGTAACAACATATGTATTCATAAAAAAACACTGGATGACCTTTGTAGATCGAAACATGTAGTGGTATAAACACAAAATAAGCTGAAAATTAAACAGTTTAAGGTCAGTTTATAATCAACTGTTGTGTTAAAATCCCTAAGCATACCTTTAATACATGATACACAACAGGATGCAGAAAACAAAGATGAGCTATTCTCATTCGGGGCTTACTAAACATGATGCAGAGGTGCCAACAACCTACCCATGAAATTCAGCATTTACTTCTGTGTTAGTATCTGGTTACTAAGAGGGACAGTCAGTCAATACGACACAAATTGAAGAAAAGCAGCTGTAATGGATGGAATAAGTTTCCTATGCGTACCACTAGGTAGCAGTACAGTCCAGCTTCATGACAGTCTAGGTAGCAGACCCACATGCACATGTTCAGAGGTTGGTCTCAGTAGTCAAAATGGTGACAATACATGAAGAGTGTAATACCGATGAGCAGCGCTCTGTTGTGTGCTTTTTTGTGGGCAAAAGGACTCAATGCAATGGATATTCATAAAGAAATATTCNAACAGTCCAGCTTCATGACAGTCTAGGTAGTACATGCACATATTCAGAGGTTGGTCTCAGTAGTCAAAATGGTGACAATACATGAAGAGTGTAATACCGATGAGCAGCGCTCTGTTGTGTGCTTTTTTGTGGGCAAAAGGACTCAATGCAATGGATATTCATAAAGAAATATTCCCAAATTACCATGGGAAGTGTTTGTCATGTAAAGCAGTTCACAACTGAGTCAAGAAATTCTCTTGAGGATATTTGGAAGTTGCATTTCAGAAAGCAGTGCAGAATTGGCTGAGATAACAGCCAAAGGACTTTTATGCTGCAGGTTTCAATGCCCTGGTAAAGAGATGGGACAAGTGTATCAAAATTGGTGGAGGATATGTTGAGAAATAATGTTTTCTCTAGGGTTAAATATTACATGTTTTATATCAATTTTTTTATTAAGAGTCTGTCTTCGCGATAACCTGTTTACCACTTGTTGCCTAGCAATGGGTGTACACATAACATTAAAATATGTTATGTGGTGGAAGGCCTACATTACTTTACAGACCATTGTCACTGAGGGAGAATAATTTGGTCACATGGTTATTCTATGATGTCACACGATGTTAAATGAGACAGCATAGTAAAATTTGAGGTTTCTGTTCCAGTGACAATCACACTGCAGAATAAGTGGTAATGAATTAGGAGGGGAACCAAGCTGAGTGGTGTGGTGGTAATTCTCTAGACTTGTATTTGGGAGGTGCATGGTTTGTATCTTGGCAAGGACAATAGCTACCTTGACTAATGTCTTCTGTGACTCTCCTCAGTCCCTGCACACAACTTCCAGGATAGTACCATGATTAGGCCATGACCACTTCCTCACAAATTCTTTTTAATTCATTATTCAACAACTTAGTCAAGACAATTGCCCCTGATCAGAATCTGAATTCAGTCAAGGTCAGATCTGTTACCTGTGTTCCAGTCTGCTTGGTACATTTCTGTCCTCTATTACATTCACTATAGTGAAGATTCCCAGTTCCTTTGATCCTAATTTTTGACTCACATTATCAAATGGCACCTGTATTATTTTTTTCTGGAGTGTTCTCCTTAAGTGAAACACTTTCAAATTTAATCCTGTTGCTCTATGATGCAACATTCGGGGAATACCTAATTAATTTATGTACAATTTTTGGGCCAATTAATTCACAATAATCATTAAATCTTATATTTTTGCATATTGTATTCAAAAAGGTTCTTGCCCTTCAACGGTTTCTAGTTGCACAGCTCTGCATTGCATCATACAACTTACCAGGGAGATGCTGTTTCAAAGATCTGAGAAATGAAGCTTTTCCTTTGTGTTTATTACGAAGGTGGAGAAATAAACAATGATCTTCTTCACCCCAACCACCAGTGTGACCCCCAGTGTTTTGGAGGAATGTCTGGAAAGTTGAAACTTCCTGAAAAATAATAGAAACAAGTTCTGGGAAGAACTAATGCCTACTTTTCTGTGATACAATATGGACTGCACAGAAAACAAAGCATGGAACAACACACTGTGATCAAATTCCTTGGAGAAAACGTCCTGTCTGCTGAAATTCACCATGAACTCCAGCAAAAGTATGGGGAAGAGTGTCTCTCACAGACCCGTGTGTTTGAGTGGTGTAAGTGCTTCAGAGAGGGCAGAAGGCACGTGGAGAATGAACCGCATGATCGTCGGCCGCGAACATCCGTCACCGAGCCAAACACTGATCGTGCAGACGTGCTTATTTGTGAGAATAGGTGCATCACTATCAAGGAACTTGGAGCAATGCTGTCCATCAGTGTTGGTAGTGTAGAAGACATCATGAAATACCACCTGCACTATCGCAAGGTGAATGAACGGTGGGTACCATGCACTTTGACGGACGTGGACAAAATGGTGAGCATGCAAGCTGCCAGTTGTCTCCTACAACAGTTTGAAGACGAAGGTGGATGCATTTTTTCAGCCTATAGTGACCACCAGTGAAACGTGGGTGCACTACTTCATTCCCAATTCCCAGCAGCCATCACACGAGTGGCGGCATACCAGCTCTCCCAAACTCAAGAGAGCGCAGAGGAGCCATTTGGCAGGAAAAGTGATGGCAACGTTCTTCTGGGACTGGCAGGGGGTTATCCATGTACACTTTCTGACAGATGCCAGAACAGTCAATGCAGCTTATTACTCAGACCTCCTGGCAACAGACGTGAAGGAAAAGATCCAGTCCAAGTGGAAGACAGGTGGAAAGTGGGTAGCCTTCCTTCAAGACAATGCACGCCCCCATACGGCCAGAACAATGGAAACCCTCCAGAAATTGAAATGGAACCTTCCTACACATCCGCCATACAGTCCCGATTTGACCCCAAGTGATTCCTACATGTTCGGAAGGCTCAAATCAGACTTGCAAAGCATGCAGTTTGTGGACGACGCTGTCATCCAGACTGTTCAGGAGTGGATACGCCGCCAACAAGGCTTTTTTTAAAAAGGCATCAGGATTCTTCCAGAACGTTGGAAAAAATGTGTTGATTCTGGAGGGGCATACGTTGAAGACTGACATGTGCAAGTAAGTGTTTGGCAATAATGCTTAAAAAAAATCAGTCCCGGTCATATTTGAACCACCTTGTATTATTGTGTGTAACTGCTGCCACGGGAATGAGTTTACTGACATCTTCCCTAGCACCAAAAGGGATACACTTAACCAAGCTATCCCTTGCAACGATAGTAGGGATACACATGCAGACACACAGACTGATGGGAGGGATTTATGAAGTATGCCAATGAGATGGGCTCAGATGTCATAATTTACATATCAAGTTTAACAAAAAATAGTTCAGGCATTCAAAAACTGAAGGGGGGGATACATAGAGAGCATGGAGATAGCATAAGCCTACTTTATGAAATAGGCCAAAAATAAATTATGACATGAAATTTACTGAACTCATTATGAATTCAATATCCTTTCTTGTCTTTGAACAAGCTGTTAGTATTATTAATCCTGTATATATCAGAAAACTGCAAAGACCTCTCAAACGTTACAAGATTCTGACTAGTAACATCCATAGCCTAGACTATACCACAACTCAGGCGGTTAGTTGCTGCTTTCTTCCATGGCAGCCTGGCTTCAATCCCAGGTCAGGTCACATGGGATCTATGGTGGAAAAAGTGGCCCTGGGACAGGTTTTCTCTGAATAGTTCAGTTTCACTTGTAAATTCTCATTTCATTGCCTACTTCAAATTAAATTAACATCAACAGCCAATTCTGGTGGTTACAGGGTACTCAGTATAGCACCACTTTAACATATGTAAATATTCTGTTACACTGTTACAGTACAGACCTTATGATAGACCCTCCCCCAAGGAGACCTACCACTTGTCTCAATAAGGATTTAGAACAACTTTACTGCAGATAAACTTAAAGCTCACTTTTGGCTGTGACACCCATACAAGATCTGAGCAGGACTCAGAACACCTATTTTCTTAAGACATAAATTTCTGGTCTTACAGATCTGTTACTGTTATAATATATGAAAACAACTCATTACTTCAGAACAGATTTTGTATATATTAAATTTGTTATATATAATCTCAAAGTTCAGTGCTGTCACTACATTTGTAACTGTTAACCTTCTCTGGTCATATGTCGAGAAATAATCGACACGACAGTGTTACCCGGACGAATGTCGATATATGGCTGACAATGTTTATTTCGCGCTTCTCCGGTCATATTTTTGATAATATGTCACTAGTTGGCACTGTATACTATACCAATGTATTCATGAATGTTTTGTCTCAAGAAAAGTTGCATGTTTTTAAATCTGTTACCATACATCATACAAGAACGCTATATTAAGTGGTGCTAGCACTGTTCCCACATCACAAGTTCGCCCATCTACCATGCTGTTATCACAGAATGCAGGAAACTTAAATATACAGAGTTGCTGGGGTGGCCTAGAATGGCATATCAATACTGTTTCATGAAAACTGCTCAGCTGGTTCAACAGTTAAAAGGATATACACATACACACCATGGTGTTCTCATGTGCATATGCTTTTCCCTTAAAAAAGAAAGTACACTGTAAAATATATTATTTCTGTATTATTTCTGGGTTTATTTAATGGTGGTTCATTATAAATATGAGACTGACTGACTGTTGGTCGCAATGTGACTTGATATGCCCTGGGAGTAAGAATGTTGGACTGTGGGAAGTTCCCACAACTGAATATATCATGCATGTATGTTAAAGATCATGAAGAATATGTGGGAGAGAAGGAGAAAGGAAGAGCTTGTAACCTAGCATGCATTACCATCTCACCATTTGCTTGAAGGCACCAAGAAAAATCATAAAAGCCTCAGACAGGAACACCAATATCTGGGCCAAGTTCCAAACTTTGTATTTCCCATATATGAAGCAGAAGTGCTAAGCATTACAATGTGAAGTTTGATAGAAATATCCACAACTGATCAACAGTCCTGATATTGGAGGACTGAAGAGAACAATTGTAATGGTAACAATGATGGCAGCTGATATGGTAATAGTAACTGTGATGATGACATCTAAACACTTGAAAGCAAAGGTTTTGTAACTTACCTCCTTAATATTATCAGTGTTTGAAATATATGACTTTGAAACAGTTCTCACTGGGAGTTTTAGCAGTGATGGCTTCACAGCCTGGCTCCAATCAACATATTTGTTTTCCAAATTGTTTAGGTCATGAGTCAAGGTACATTCTTCTTCTAATAATTTCCCAAATCTGTACACAAGCACATAATATACGAGAAACTATACACTGGACAAGTCATTGGCCAAGTCTATCATTGACTTTCTTCAATTATTTTTAAAGGCATACTACAAAACAGTTTATGTCCGTCAAACTGGTAATTTCATAAAAAAATGATATAAAATTTAAAACTACACTCATTACCTCTCAGCACTCCAAAGTACACATACAAACAATGCAAGAGTTATCATAAAATCATAAAATAATCATAATATTTGTGCTATCATTTTTTCTTGCATTAAAATGATAAATTAACTGGTATATTTCTTGTAGTCCACCATATATAATTACAAAATCTTTTCAAAGATTCCCTCTAAGCCTGTTACAATGAAAGTTATTGCCCATGAGAGTAAGGTTTCCATGCACATTAACTACTTCATGGCATATTTAACCATGATTTTTCATCTGTGCAGGTTACCAAATGGTTGACTGTGAATGATGAATTGGAAAGAATGTGAAAATGAGCAGGCATAGAATAGTTTAAGATTCTGTTTTGAGATCTACCTGGACAAGTTGAGTAAAACCATGCATCTAAACTGAATGCTCCTCCAAATATAATCATATAATCTGCCTCAATTTCAGAAAATTAAACTAAAGGAAGGTAAGCATAAGGCAAAAGAAAGTTAGCCCCATGCTTAATTAATTAAGTACTACACCAACAACACATACGGGTGACTGGAGGTATAACTCCATCATTACTGATATCAACACTAGACTGAAGTGAGTAGTCAGCTTCACACCCTTGTAGCATTAATCCTGGGGAATTGGCCCCCATACCCATTGTATATGAGGCTGGGTGGCCCCAGAGTTGGTCTGGATATTACAGAGAAGATAAAAGCCTCCTGACCCTGTGGGAAACTGAACCTTGATTTCTCAGCCTTCCAGCCCATACCCCATTGCTATACTAAGCTATCCAAGCTCTTTCAAACTGAAGAAAAATTCTTATATGTCAATTGCGTAAAATGTATTAATCTCTAAATACACATCATCAATTCTTTTCTTACCTTTTATCACTAGTCTCACTGAAAGTCCTTATTTTATTCTCAAGCTCATATATACTTCTTCGGTAATGTTCCATATCTGAAAGAAAAACAAATGCACAAATTTTGATGTGGAAGGATCAATGCACACTGGCTTACAAGTAGTTCCCCTCAGCCATTACATATTTATGTCAAAGGTCATACTACAATGCAATAAATCCTGCAGGCATATGCTTATGACCTCCTTTTGTTCATTTCTTCTAATCATGGAAATAGGCATACCTTTCACAGTTCTTTTTCTTGGAATCTGGTAGTAACTGGCTTGGGTTAATCTAGAGAGTAGAGTTATTACAGATAATGAAGCATGCTGCTGTCTTTTGAAGCAACAATCAAAATGCTAATGCTTATGCACCCTTACCAGGTGGTAATCAGAAGTTTTGTGCAGATCACTCATAAAAGAAAGTAAGTAGGTTCTCTGAAAACCAGGGTGTCATTCATGAGTTAAATCTAAAAAAGTGCAGTATCAACACCACACACACACACACACACACACACAGACATTCTTCATCATATACAACAAATTATCTGCTTATCTTTGGAAATCTGGAAATTGGCAACTTCATTACGAAAATTTTCTAGCTCATTCGTCTTCTTTGGTATGGGAGTACCTGACCATGAATGGGATCATGGAGCTTCATAATTTTCATACTTTCGAATATAGTTCCTGCCAAATGTGTGTTCCTAAGACTGAAGACCCTCCTGAAAGGAAACAGGTTCCAGTTGGCAGAACTGAAACGTACTGCAATGGTGGCACTGCAGAAGGTAACTGGAAATGAACTGCACTGAGTGCTTACAGTAGTGATAGGGCTGCTAACTGAAATGTGTGATAGAGAAAGTATTTCGGATCTAGCATACAGTAAACACCATTGATGGAATGACTGAACAGGGGGTGGACAAAACTCGCCCTTAAACTGGAACCATCTTTGATCTATTGTGTATCCCTTTACTAGTTAGCCCACTAACTATCCCATTCTTTGGCTGAAGTGCAATAATTTAATTAATGGGGCATTTAAGTAGCTACCTGGTTCCATAAAATAAAATCTCAAGTGACAAAATCTTAAGTTAGCTAAGGTCTCACAATCACACAGGATATGGAAGGTTGTTTCATCTTTATAGAATTTGAGGTATTCACAGAGGTGACTATGAAGAATGCCATCTTCTGGGTTGTGGCATCATGTAGATCTTGTTTCATCTTTGTTCTCACATACTTTCACAAGTGAGGTTATTCACTGGTCCCAGTAAAAACCAATTTTGATGTAAGGTAAGTTCATATGGGGCAAAATGTCACAAACTATATGACTCTATACCACATATTTACACTTTACTGTTACATTAAAAGAGCTATATAATTCAAGATTCAAGTAGTCAAGTACATATGCCCAAGCCCAAATTACCTAATTGTCTAAGTCTGTCTTCATTCTGTATATCATCTCTCAGCTGGTTCAAAGAATTTAAAATTGATAACATGGAATGATGAAGTTCCTCACTCTCTTGAATTCTGTATAAAAAGAAAGAAAAAATACAACATCCACAATAAAACAAATAACACACAAATCAAATCACATAGTTTGGAAAATAAAAGTATTTTTTTTTTCATTCTACTGTTTCTCTGTTGGTACACTTCAAAATGCTACATTACATAAAACTGAAAGACAGCCTGATTCTAGATTATGAAGTTGGAAGGACACGTTAAGGTAGCATTCTGAAATCTGTCTGCAAGGAATGAGAAACACACACACACAAAAAAGCCACAATGATGAATCTGCGAACCAAGATTTGAAGCCAGGACCTTCTGAAAACAAAGTAGTGTTAACTGTTATGTCACAATGTTCAGTCCTATCTCATTGACTTCCCCAGACTTTGGATTTCCAGCCCACTGATCATCCTTATATGCAAAGGGCTGAAGAATGCACAGCTGCAATATACAGCAGCAGATGTGCTTGTGTCAGTACTGCACTGTCCATCTTAGCTGAAAAAATTACATAGCTCATGCCAAGACAGCAGAACTGCTTAATGCATACTGTTATTCCATCAAGTTTAATACCTCAGTAGAAATGCAGTTATATTCCCATAATTTTTTTAAACTTAGTGAAATTTGGCATTTTGAGCAGCGAATCTATCTATACGTAAAAAATGTTGCACATTAATAGAAACTGCTTTTGGAATACATTTCATGTCCCATGTCTTCCCACTGCAATTTCAGTGAGCTTTATATTAGCAGAAAACACTATATTAAAACACGTGAGTCCAAAGTGGCTGTATTTAAAGATCACAAAACGAAGAAAACTTTGCTTCCTCTATTACTGTGTGCGATTCATCACTGCTGCAGAGATGCCTTTACTGCACTGTGACATAGCAACAAGCGTGGTGCTGACCACAGAAAACACCGCTCTTCTACTGTTGTGCATGTTCACCTCCATGGGAATGTGTTTACTGAGCCCTTGCTTAGCAAAGAACTATTCTGGGTCTAAGGCATCATGTCCCAATATTGTCTGCACACTTGCAATTATGCTGGGACTCATCCACTGCCTGAGGTACATCTAATTTACAGATTTTAGAACTTGGCTGTCACTGCCATGATAAATAGCATTTATGCTCAGCATTCAAAGGGATCTTGACTCTATTCTGAGCATTGTGACTAACATCAAAACCATAATATCAGTCAGTATGATAACAACCAATCACCTAAAGTTGTAAGCATAGTCAACTCCTGAAATGTTGTACATATTACATTAATATAACACCCACTGTGAAATAAATCGAAAGAATCATCACTTGTTATACAAGCTATGATACTATTAATGTTCCCTGCTTTCTTCCACTTTCTTTTCTTATCCCACACCTTATCATATGATGTGTCAAAGCCAAAGTTTAGCACTATTTCCAACCAATACCACATACAAATAGTCACTCATAAATCATTTACTTCATACAGTACACTACACTTCATATATCCACATCAGTATGTTACCAGTGCTCACTGAATAGACATGATACACTGAAACAAAAGACTACTTGCTCATTCATTATGTATTACATAGCTTACACTCATGCAATGGATTAACACTCAATGATCTGTTGCACTGGTAACCAGAAATCATGTAATGACAGGGATCAATCTTACACACATTTTTTTTTATATATGTATTAGGGTTGAAACTTTAATAGTAGCAACTATTTATTTACAACTGATACAAAATAGATGCATGTTTCGAAGTTTTACTGTACTTCAATGTAGTCACCAGCATTGTGTACAACCCATTACCAGCAACGTGGAAGTCGTAGGATGCCTTTAGCAGTGCCTGTTGTATTGACAGTTCGAATGGAGCAGTCTACTGCCTGAAGAATCTCTGGAACAGTTCTGAAGCGAATGCCACGAAGTGGTTCCTTTATCTTGGGAATCAAGTACGGCGTTGATAACTCTCCAGTAACACGGAAAGAGCATACACTTCTTCTTCACTGACACTAGGACAACCTGGCGGATGCATGTCTGCCACATTCTGGCATCCCTTGTTGAAGGCTTTGACCCACCTTGCCACTGTTCTCTAAGGCAATGCAGATTCCCTGCAAGCCTTTGGAAGATCTTGATGACACTGTCGTGCTGTACGGCCTCTGGCACATTCAATCTTTATCCAACTCCGTTGTTCCTGTTTTGAAAACATCGTGACAACACTACATTAGACCGCCAGCTAACATGAGGCTCTGTTCTTCTCGTCACTGTGCGTGCATGTGATGTGGGAAGGGAGAGTCCATTTGCTCTGAGGCAAGGTATGTATGTAACTAACTTGTGGTATAAGTGACATTATTTGCATGGTGTCTCTACAGCAGTGTTGCCACTATTAAAGTTCCAACTCTCATATACAGGGTGTCCCAGGAGGAATGTGCCAAACTTCGGGAGGGTGTTCCTATGTTAAGGTATGCCGATATAACCCAAAACGCCTATGTCCAAAGTTGAACGGTTACGGAGATAATGGGCCGAAAAAAGTGTGGTCTTCTGGCGGGTCCATGCACTGTACATGTCAGCTGAGACGTCTTATCTATGTTTGTCCTTGAGTGTGGTGATTCACACTAGCCGTAAGCTCATGTGCTACGTACAGAGTACGTTGCGGCCTCGTCATGAATGGTTGGTAATTAGTTGTGCGGAGTTGCTGAAATGCCTTTTGTGTTTACACACGTGGAATACTGTGATATGCATTTTGTGTGTGGATTTTGCAGTGGCAATGCACGTGCTGCTGTTGAAGAATACCAAAGGCGTTTTCCCAATCGAAGGATTCCATCTCGAAGTGTATTAACGCGAATCACCAGACATTGTGTGATACTGGTTCTCTTCCGAGTGTTTCTGTGCACTCTGAAAGGAAGGATGTACAAATGATAAACACACAAGAGAGCATTCTTGAGATGGTTCAGAGAAGTCTGCGTCTGTCCACTCGTAGAATGGCCTCTCGCATCGGCGTATCACGTATGCAGGTGTGGCGAACTTTACATGATGAAGAGTTGTATCCTTACCATGATCAAAGGGTACAACATCTGGAACCAGGCGACCATGCACAGCGTATGGATTTCTGCCACTGGATAAAAGCTCATCCCGAACTGTTAAGCGTCATTTTATTCAGTGATGAGGCGTCTTTTACCCGGGACGGTGTAAATAATTTACGAAATGTGCATACGTGGTCCCAAAATAATCCACATGAGATAATGGAAACGAAATTCCAAAAGAGATTTTCCGTGAATGTACGTTTAATACAGTTATGTACTCTGTTTATACCATTATGCGCAGTCAGCCATGTTACGTCAGCACTTGCCAGTCATGTGTCATGTACAGTGCTTGGAAACCTAAGGACAATTATGACATGGCGAGCAAGTATTTTGTACTTCAATTTTATGGCTTCATGTCACTCACAAGTTAGTCTGATGTTACATACATTATTAACATTACAGAAACCACATATTCTTGCCAGTTTTAATATGTATTTTGTAATCAACAAGTGTGTAACACCGGTCAAAGTTTCACACTTCTCTGGCCATTATCTCCGTAACCGTTCAACTTTGGACATAGGTGTTTTGGGTTATATTGGCATACTTTAACATAAGGAACATCCTTCCGAAGTTTGGCACATTCCTCCTGGGACACCCTGTATATAATATGCACCAATAAATCTCAACAAATAAACAATTTTACTAGAAAATTCAAATTTTTAATTGAATCGTCCAAAAGATCTGATAGTAAACACATAAGTGTTTTAATTGGTCTTGTTTATTGAGGTTACACTGTATTATACCAACTCACTCTTTTACCTCTGGCATTCCATCTCTTTATGAACAGCTGATAAATCTTGTGTGGCATGATGATCTAAACATTTCATACACTTGATTGCAATTGCTTGTGCCTTATCAAGATAGTCCTCCTGCATTTTTAATCTTGCAGCATGAGCAACGAAAGAGGTTGAATTGACTTCATCAGCCTTGGATTTACATTTGTAAGCTGTGTTACAAAATGTTGTGTTCTTTCTCTCAGCCATGGTAGTACACAACACTGAAATCACATAATGTATCGGTTGAGATACCTAATTCTGCAGTTATCTTCGGAATACATCAAATAATAATAAAAACACCAATCATTAAACTTACTGCATAGCTTACTTACTTACTTATGGAGCTGAGCCCTTCTTGAGAAGCCAAATCTGCAGCTACTCAAGAATTTCCCAGCAATTTATGGAACCCAAAGGTTCATTACTGTGTTCACAAGAGCCCTCAATTGGTCTTTATTCTGAACCAGATCAATCCAATCCATACCGTCCCATCCTTATTGCATACCATGCATGAAAAAAATGTATGGGATTTTAGATTTGCATAATGGTGAAAATCTACATTGGGGTATCCAGAATTATATTCTACCATGAAGATGGAGGCTGCAGGTTTCTCTGAAACACTGGTATCTACCTACAAACCTATACATGATACCATTTGAAAACGGAAGCAGCAGCTGCCTCCAAAACATTAGTAACCACCTACACGGCATCACAACTCAGAATACCACAATCTACATGACAAAACGAAAACTTATCCTAAAAAAAAGGTGCAACTGATTCCATAATTGGCCTTTCAAATGCTAAACATACAACAACTGTCTGAATCTCTGAGTGAACTGAATGACACTGCCTGTCACCATTTCTTACAGTAAAAATAAAGGTCTGAAAGATTTTAAAAATGTTCCAGTACTCTGGTATCAACCTGTATTTTCCATTGGTCTATCCTCTGAATCTTCACTTCCCTCCATGGAGCATATTCTCTTTTGGGAAGCTATCATCATTCACCTGAGGAAATTCTCTTTGAACACAACGTGGAAGTTATATAAACATATCATATGAGGGAACAATAATTTTAATGATGAACTGGAAATTACTTGGATAAATGTGGTCAAGCTGTGTTAATGTACCAGATGACATTTTGAATGGAAGAACTGAGTAAATAAATCATAGAAAAAAATTACAAATACAACATCCTGAACATGAAACATTAATTCTAACCACTACGATTCAATGTTCAGCCTAAACTGACCAAAGAGATATGAACTGTATTATTCTAATCTGAAAACCTGAAGGAAAGAACCAGCTGGGAGACCCAGACATACACTGGAGGATAATATTAAAAAACAGAAATTGTGTATGGCAATATGGATCTGATTAACATTCTCAGAAAAGGGACCAATGGCATGTCTTGTGAATCTGGTAAGGAATCTCTGAATGTCATTATGAGATGGGGAATTAACTGAACAACTGAGCCACTAGTAGCTTCTCAAGTGCTCTGTTCCATGTAGTCAACATATATTTTGAGATTTTCATGGTAGTGACTGTTCACGCTGCTATCTTCTAGATTATAACACTGTGTAGCCTTGTAGGTAGATACCAACATTTGAAAAGAGCATGCTGCAAGTTTTAAGAGTGTAGGTTGAGGAACTGGCTTAATTATATAGAAACAGTGTAAGGAAGGTACTTACCGAGACTCAGGACAGGAGCTAAGAAAATGGAACCTGATATGACTCAATGAGAACAGTGAGCACAAACAACTTTTTTTGGAGGCACACTATGTTTTTCCCACCTATGACAAAAATTGAAGTGAGCCCTTAAAAACATTTCCTACCCAATGGCTTCAATTGGATTCCATATGACCGTAGCTCATAACTGTATTAAAATATGAATAGTAAATAGTTTTCAAGGTATTGAGAGTCATGTATGATTTAATACTCCTCATTATATAGCATGCCAAGCTCAGTTTTGGGATAATGCATTCCACATGACAACTCCAGCTTATTGAATCATTTACATATATGCCAAGGAACTTTATGTATTTTTTTTATTGCTAGTGGGGTAGGACTAAGTCCTTGGTACTGCAGCCACTTCTGGCCTATTGTACCAGCCCCAGATGATAGGTGAGGGTGACTGTGAAGCAATTGGTGGAATGATGATTGGCAGGGGAAACCAAAGTACTCAGAGAAAACCTGCCCCAGTGCCACTTTGTCCACCACATATCCCACTTGACCAGACCCGGAATCGAAATGGGGTGCCGCGGTGAGAAGCCAGCAACTAACTGCTTGAGCTATGACGCGGCCAAGGAACTTTATATTAGACAAGGTTGTTACTGGATAGTTATTACAAACAATGTTTATATCAGCTGTGAATTTTTTAGTTTTAAATTACATACAATGGGTTTTGTTAACGTTTGCTGAAAGCAAATTTGTTCTGAACCATTTATATACACAATTAAAGGCATTAACCATATTATTTTCAAAATCCTTTAAATTAGAACCTGGATTCTGTGATACCTGTTATTAAGATATGATTCAAACCATGGTTTAGCTTTACCATTAATACCATAAAATTGTGGTTTAGACAACAAAATACCATGGTTCAGACAATCAAATGCCTTTTCAAGATCAAAAAAGATACCACCTACTGTAGATTTACTATTTAAAGCTTGCAGGGTTTCATTAATTAGCTTATATAGGGCATTACCTGTTGAAGAGCCTGCTTTAAACCCAAACTGTTCATCAGATAAGATACTATATTTCTTCAAATGCTCCTGGAGTTGGTTGTACATGACTTTTTCAATCACTTTTGAAAAAGAACTTAACATAGATATAGGTCTGTAGTCACCTATCACCTGTCTTAAATAAGGGTTTAACTACTGCATATTTCAAACAATGTGGAAAAATTCCTAAAGATATTGATTTGTTACATATATAAGTTAAAGGTGAACTAATAAAAGACAAGCTTATTTTTAATAATTTAGTAGATATTCCATCATATCCAGAGGAATTTTTGGATTTAAGGGATTTTTATTATATTTTCAACTTCTTTGGAGGATAAAAATTTTAGATTAATATTTGGGAAAGGAGTCTTGAAAGACTGCAGTAAATAACGAACAGGAGTTGTATTCTATAACTTCATTATGTTTGATGTTAATATTTTTAGCTATCAATCTATCAATCAGTTTATTTGTTCCGAGAATGCATATTTACAGATACAACCTCCGGATATAGAACAAGTCAATTACTACATATTAAAATAACATACATATCATACATGAGTCAGCAATACTATGAAACTTAACTACCTACACATTTCATACAAATCAATCATACAATACACTGTCGCACTTTCAACAATTCAATACCAAAAGAAACCCAACATCCACCATTTTCTTTTATATATTAAGTGAGAACAATATATTTGTCATAATATAACACCATAACATACCCACTTCATGGACTTAAATTTGAGGAAGAAACTAGTGAAATGCTACATTTGGAGCATAGCTCTGTATGGGGCTGAAACATGGACACTTAGGGCAGTAGATCATCATCAACATCTTTATTAACATCCGTAACTGTTACAAAGTAACACATGGACAAGTCATAACATGTAGTACAATCATTCGGGAATCCTTTGCCCACGGCCTAAAGGGTTCCTAAGTCAACAGAGGCATACTCTAATTAAAACTACAATACAGAATACAAGTACACAAATTTTNATAGAAGTGACAAGAAGACGAGGAAGAAGATGAACGAAGATGCTGGATGACCTTGGGGAAAGAAGAGGGTACTGTCATTTGAAGGAGAAAGCTCTAGATCGCATTAAGTGGAGGAATTGTTTTGGAAGAGACTGTGGACCTGTCATCTGACAGATTACTGATGATGATGACTCACTTCAGAATTTTAAGGACATAAGTATAAGGGTATGTCACATAATGTCCACCTGCTCTTCAAAACAGGGTACATCATACCTTATGCAGTCAAACTTGAAAGGAAATCCTATGTAAGAATGTTTGAATTTCCCACTGGCATATGAATACCAGATGTATGCTGAAAATGGAATCTAGTAACTTTCTAATGATGATGTACCACCCAATGTCACTGAAAATGATGCATCCTTGTTCCCATAGCAGATGCATTATAGAAGTTATAGATAGTAATAAAATAGTAACAGTAAAAAAGACTTTTTTTTTCAGAAAATTATGACAGGTGATATGAATGCAGTATAAAGTACAGGTTATTTTGGACCTCTATGAATCAAATTTAAATTTACCTGACAATTTATAATGCATGAAAAACAAATGATTAAATAAAGTCTCATGTTAAGACTTTTTCTTTCTTCAAAAATTAATGTCTATCGTGAGAGTTTTGACTTAATACAAACTAAAAAAAAAGGGGGAACAAAACTATAAAGCACTGTAAAGTACATCTTTTGGGATGCAGTTCCATGCAACCCAGCAGAAGTTCACCAAAATTCCTCAAAAACATCAACAAACTTCCATGAGACTACATGATATCACATCCCAGAAATGGATAAGAAATATTTATTAAATTTATTTGCTATCTCTTGATGGTTACCAATTGGAGTCCTTTCAATATTTAAAGTGATAGCCTTATCAGTATTTTCAGTTTTATTGGATTCTAATTTAACTATGTCCCAAACAGTTTTATTTTTGTTCAGGGATTCATTAATTTTGTCTGCATAATTAAGTGTCTTTGCTTCCTTGACAACAGCAGATAAAATATTGCAGTACTATTTATAATAGTTTATGAGATCTAGATTATTACTATTCCTACATGCTACGTAAAGTTCTCTTTTACGTTTGCAAGAAGTTAAAATTCCTAAGGTAATCCAGTTATTATTATTATTTTTTCCGACGAGGACTCTCTTTAGAGGAAAACTAGAATAAAAGATTTTCAGATAGGAGTCTAGAAAGGAGTTAAACATTTCATTAACGTTATCTGTAGTTAAAACAGTATCCCAAGTTTTGTAGCTTAATTTAAGAAGAAAATCATTTATTGTATGTTTATTAATCTAACTGACATAAATTTTTTGACAAGTGGTCTTAAACTAAAAGAATAAAATGTTATAATCTGAGCATCATGGTATAACAGCCAATTAATTATTGGAGTTATAGAATAATTACCAACCTTGGTAGTGTCAGTAAATATATTGTCTATAGCTGTAGTAGAATTATGTTGAGTGTGGGTAGGGAAGTTGAGTACACTTGTTAGGTTGTAGGTTTTAAGCAAGGCTTCTAATTGACTTTTTCTACTACTGTCAACTAGGTAATTTATATTTATGTCACCACAAATAATAAAGTCAATGGTAACCGTAAATAGTTTTTTGAGTATCCTGTCTAATTTGATAATAAAAGTACCAAAGTTGCCTGATGGTGCTCTATATATATGTTCAAAAATTTATTGAAAGCTATGTTCACATTTGTTTCAGAAAAAACCTCTTCCCAATTTTCATAACTTAACAAAAATAAAAATTGACCTACAGCATAATTATTAATACCTCTTTTGTAATAAAATATCTGTTTATGGCCTAGAACAGTAATACTCGTATTATTGAAAACAATGACCTGAGCATCATGGTCTGACAGACTGTTAATACGAGGATGCACAGAGAATCCATGTAAGTAGCTATTACTATAGATATTATTTATTAAAGTACAAGAATTAGAAGAAATTCTTGTAGGGAAATTAATTATACTGTAAAGATTAAAGGAAGCTAAAAGTGAGTTTAAACACTCTTTCCTAGTATTATCATATAAATAATTTACATTGACGTGACCACATAAAATTATCTTACTTAATGAATTATACACTTCATTTAATAATAGTTCCAGCTGATTGTAGTGAACTGTTTTGTTACAACGCATTCCGTTGAATGTTCAAAAAGGAAAGTATTTTTTGTTTGAAAAATAATTAGTGTAATTACTACTTTACACGTTAACTTACGTTAGGTAAAGACTGCACATAAAAAGACAAATTTGTGCTGCGGCTGACGTACAAATCTTATGAGTGAAACACGGATAACACCTTTCACGCCGTGAAGCGAATGCTAAAAATACATTAATGATTACGTACTGGTGAACACTATAATAAGATTAACGTTCAAAGAACGCCACATAAATGTCTTCCATTACAACACGTTATATTTTAAACCAGTAACAAACAAACCATACGCAAATTGTAACTACTCCCGCTTGAAACTTTGCATTCTACACACAACATATTGCATCATTTCATGCCATGGTTTTTTTGGGGCATCTATAAACAAAACCTTTGACACGAAAATGTCATTGCAATTATTCTAGTTCCCTGTCATCCTTAACTGACGTGTTGTTGCCACCGCGATTATTCATGTTCAAGTGTCTTCTACAATCTCTGGAAAATCGTTTCGTATACTTCACTGGTTCACTGGTTTTCGTAACATAAATTATAGTTTCTTGCTGCAGAAATGTAGACCATGTAGACTTCTGTTAAATGTTGTCATTGCATTTCGACACGCTCATGTGATTCATATATGTTGTACTAGTACTTCTGTTTTGAATTTTATTACAGTAAGGCAACCATATTGACGTTCTTCAGCCGTTTCTTGTTCCACATTAAGGACCCCTCGACCTCGAGACAGCTAATGTAATGAAACAGCGTTAGCAAGAAGCAGAAGAAGAAGCCAATCGACCAACGTACATCGTAGAACCGTAGAAGAATGTGTTGGTACCAAAGAATGCATGTATGCTTGTAATTGTGCAATAAATTTTTTGTTTTAGCGTTAGCGTATGTCCGTTTTCTCTTATAAAAAATGTATACGTAAAAAGGGGGAAATATCGTTTAACTACTTGTTAAATCAAATAAAATTCGCTTATACAAAAAAATTAGATTAAAAGTATCAAATATATTGCACGAAAAGCACTAAGCAGTTTCTTAACCAAGACCTTAGTATTGACTGCATTCATCGGGCATTGTTGCTTGATAAGCTGTAAATAAGCAAACCCATATGTTTACGATTAATAGTGGAAAACGAACTGGGTATGCCGATTTCTAACATCCCGCAGATTTGAGGATTCGGAACAAATAGGATTTGAGCTCATCCATCATGAGAACCACCGACTTTTTCATGGAAAAGATGTAAGAAGTACTAAACTGTAGAAACGATAGAATTTCTCGGTTTGCCGCTGGATAATCATCTAACTTGTAATGGACATATAGATTTTTTGCGTCATAAGTTGAGCACATTTGGTTTTCTAATGCGAAAATTATATTATGTACTAAATATTAATAGTCTTAAAGCAGTATATTATCTGTATTATCATTCACTGGTGAAATATAGAATAATATATTGGGGAAATACATCAGACTTTCATAAGGTCTTTGTTATGCAAAACAAAATAATAAGAATAATGATGGGAGTGGGCCCAAGTCATACATGCAGAGAATTATTTAAAAAGTTTGACATACTATCAAACCCATGTGTATACTTGCTCTCATTGATGACATTTGTTGTTAGTAATTTGAATAAGTTTCAGACCAGTAACTCTGTATATATGATTGGTACAAGAAGGAATGACCACCTTCATATACCTACAACACATTTATCATCCTATCAGAGATGGGTGTATTATTCAGGCGTCAAGCGATTTAACACTGTCGTCAAATATCTCAGTTTTATATTTTATTTGACCAAGGATGTATGATGTGTAGTCATAATAAATTTGTAATGTGTGACATGTTTTATATCCAGCCCTACGGGGGAGATGATTTGATCCATGAAGTGAAAATAAATGTATTTTGTAAATGTATCCATTAATAAATATCAGTGTTTCTTTATAACAGTGAAATGTTCTTTTCAGGTTAGGTAATGTCTTTGATGCTTAATTTACAATTTCAAATAGTTCATATATTTTGAAATTTACTGCTGTTAGCATGGGAAAAGCAAAACCCCGTTGTTATTTATAATGCCAGCCCTAGTAATAACTAATAACATCAAATATGAATAATTTGATTTGTTCACAGGTTTATGTAAATTATAAGTCTAAATTACAGTATTAGCAAAATGGACAGCAAGAATGATATTCCTGTTCATCTACCCATGTATTATTTGGGTCTCATCCCAAGCAAAATAGCAAACACTGTGGAGGTAAGTCATGCTGTGGAGTCAAACCACCTTTTCAGTATTAGCATTGGATTTGTATTGGGAATGGTAAACATGAAAAATAAATTCTGTGTCATTTGGTTATAGATTATGGCATGTCAGTGTATGTTAATGAGGCTCACATATTTGACCAAGACATCAGAAAATTGAACCCATTTTTTTTTTTTGGTATAAGTGTTTCTTGGAAAATAGTTGTCATTCATGTGTCTGTAAAATCATGAATTCATCTGTATGTGTACATGTTGTCATTATGGTTTTCCAATGAATAGCATGAACCATGATGTGTATTTATGCTAACCATCTTACAGTGCACACTTTTTATTTAATTTCACCTTTCTCTTTTACACTACATGTTTCAGCGGTAATGTGCCATCTTCAGGTGTGTGTCTATGCACGTCAAACTACCGCACTGCATGCCATGATGTCTTCATTCTAAAATAACTAAAATGTGTGTTCGTCATGTATAACAATAAATTCTAAATATTGTGACCTTTCAGGATTCGTTATCCATACGTTGTATCTCAAATATGCGAATCACGCCAATCCTCCTCTATGGGAGCACTCTTCCTACATTCATGTGTATATTGTGCTCTGTGTTTTGTTTTGCTCCTGTGACTGCGTGCGTTGTTATGTTATTGTTATACATGACGAACACACATTTTAGTCATTTTAGAATGAAGACATCATGGCATGCAGTGCAGTAGTTTCATGTGCATAGAGACACACCTGAAGATGGCACATAAGTGCTGAAACATGTAGTGTAAAAGTGAAGAGAAAGGTGAAATTAAATAAAAAGTGTGCACTGTAAGACGGTTAGCATAAATACACATCATGGACATGAACCAGTGCAACAGGACGCTAAATTATAACATTATGAATAGCATGAATGTGTTGGCCGTGGAAACTTTGAAAAGAAGTACCTCAAAACGGTCACTTTATTAAAGTTCTCTACAAAGTGTATTAGAAATTTTGGACAACACCACCGCATGAATATGAATTGTGTATTTTAAGATCTGTATTTCAAGGCACCATTATCTCATATAGCACTCCCTCATGACACTAGAACACTTCCATTGGGATTGATGTTCATTTGTGACATATATACTCTAGTGTTGTCATAATTTGATATTTTTATGTTTCAGTTGTTGGGAATTTCTTAAATAGACTGAACAGAATTCCATATTAAATTGAAATTGCATTGGCAAAACGTAGTGATAAGTACCATTCATTCATTTCCTTTATTTTCCTTATATCCATACAGGTAACAAACCTAGGATGTGGAAATGGTCCCTTTGAAATAGATATATCAAGATACATATACAAAATTACATGTGTCACATAATCAAAATCACTTAGATTAATCAATTAACAAAAATAATAATACAAAGTAAAAAATTTAATAAGATTTTTATTAATAAACATAATTTAAAAACAACTTACTATAAAACTTTAATTAATACAATTTTATTTAAATTACCTATATTAACTGAATTAAATACATTACAAATTGACACACTTATGACCAACTATGTGGATAATATTCATTCGTGGAATAAAAAGAATGATGAGCCATTGCTCTGCCTTCTTGAATTAGACAGTGACATTTCAGTTGATTGCAGCATTGTAACTCGGCTACTGGAGTCTTGTTTGCATGCAAAAGTAAAGTTGGCATTAGTACAGAAAACCCTGTCTCTTGTGCACATACCCCCTTAACCCCCCCCCCGCAATTTCCACACGCTACTCTCATGTCTTTGTCCTTGATTCAGAATGTTTAGTTTTTGGATCCATTTATATTAAGTTGCAAATTATTTGATGCATTCATTGGCATGCATAAGAATGGTCAGTATCACCTCTTTCCTGTCCATAATAAATGTAATTTTGGGAAATACAGTTTCTTGATAATTGTAAATCTTAAAACATCTTCTTGCAAAATTAAGTTATTGTCAGTGTTATAGATTTTAAGTTTGCAGTATTACAGAACAAGTTATTTCTTTGCAGGCTCTTGTACTTAAGGATGAAGGACTGTATCGGTATGTTGAGGAGGGAAGTCGTCAAATGAGTAATTTTTCCACAAATGATGGTGATGGAAGAGTCTTAGATAATGTTAAAATAATAAACCATAACAGTGAAAATGGTAATATTGAAGAAGTTGAAGTTGATGTGGATGTTGATATCAATAGTGACACTTCAAGAGGTGATTTGATAGATGACAGTTCAACCCATTCAACAAGTATTACCTTAGAAAGCAACATCGAAGACTTTCTGAAACATCAGGTCTCTTCTAGCAAGGGTAAAGGGCAGTTTTATTGTCGAATTTGTTTCAGGAGGTTTACACAACAAGTAAACCTAGCAACACATGAACGAATTCATACAGGTGAACGTCCATTCCGATGTGAAATCTGTCTTAAGGCATTTACCCAGCAGTCTAATTTGTGGAAACATGTGCGTACACATACAGGTGAACGTCCTTTTCGATGTACTGTGTGCTCAAAGGCATTTGCTCAGCAGGCTAATCTCTCAAAGCATCAGCGTATACACACAGGAGAGCGACCATATAGCTGTAACTATTGCCCAAAAGCATTCTCACAACGAGCCAATTTACTTAAACATGAACGTACACATACAGGTGAGAGACCGTTTTGCTGTCGGTTCTGTTGCAAAGCATTTGCTCAGCAGAGTAATCTGGATAAGCATGAGCGGGTGCATACAGGCATCAAACCATATTCCTGTAAGCAGTGTTTAAAGAAGTTCACACAGCAGAGCAACTTGACAAAACATGAAGCTGTTCATTCTAAAGAGAAACCATTTTCTTGTAGGAGTTGCCACAAATCTTATACTCAGAAAAGTAATCTGCAAAAACATGAAAAGAAATGTAAGAAGAAAACATGAATATGTGGTGTCTCCTTTGAAATCAGGGAACTTATTGCAGAAGCGCGTGTGCCAGTTTTATTACTCCACAGTTCTATCGACTAATTTCTCCTCTAGTTCTAGACGTTTATGTAACTTGGCTTGTACCCATACAACTTAACCTTTAAAATTTTCTTACAATTATTTTTCTCCAGAAAGGAAAGGAAGTTACTATAATGATACATTGCTTCTGTGTAACTGGAATAACGGCAATGAACTCATCATACTTGATGAAACTTCTTCGATCAACTGCAATGCTAAACCGTGAGCATCACAAATTTGTTAAACAGTTTGACTGATCAGACATGCAAAAAAACATTAACATGCAATTTTGTATCACAGCATTGCATTGTGTGAGAATGTTTAAGTTGGATATTCTTGTAGCAGGTCAGCTACTTAAACAACTGCATTTTGATGGCAGTTTATTGAACTGCGGAATAAATTTCAATAGTAATAGTATACCCTGTCTGGAACTGTGCTCTGACGAGTCTTATCAGGAATCTAATCGTTATGTTTGAGTTGTATTATACACAAGCTGGTGCTGCATTCTGATGGTAGTCATAGTCCTGCTCTTCAATACATAATTGGTTTTATCACCTGAACAATATTCCTCTATTCAATACACATTCCGAAATTAACAATAACCAATACAAAACTCTATTTTCTACGTATATAAAGATGCGCCTATAATGTTCTGGCTATAGACAGGCCATTTATCATTACAGCTAGGTGTATGACTACCTTTATAATTCTCAATGCTGCAACTTGGAATGCTGAATCTGCTTACTTCTAGGGTCACTGCCTGAGAAATACATACTTTCGGGTATTATTTCAAGAACTCTCTCACTTGATACACTTTCACCAGGAATACTGTCGACCTATCTCTGAAGGTACACACTAGGAAAGCAGTATGTATTCCTCAAGGAATATATAGTTAAAAAGAGATGCAAGATTTAAGGTGTTAACTGATACACAGTAACAAGACACATTGGTATAGTGGTCATGCTAGAGACATGTATTTGACAAGAACCTGGTTTGAAGGTTAGTCTATATGCTGTCAGATCATTTGTAGTTTTCTTTAGCCAAATACTAGTATGGTGCCATGAAACAGACTGCTTAGCAACCGTGTGTTGGACTCGGCTCACTTCGGCTCCGCTCAGCATGTCACGGCTGGCGGGGAGGGAGGAGCATCCTTCATAGCGCAACACATCACAATATTTTGCATTCACTTGCACCAATTCAAATTTTTAATATAACTGTACAAATTGTGACATAACTGTAATTTCTTTTGAATATGGAAAGTTGAGCAATACAATATGTAACCCACTTACAAAAATACTCATTTCCTACATACAACTTCCAACCATGTAGAGCATTTCACATTCTACAAGTTCTTACAAATACACACGTGTATACTGTGTATATTTCTTTATAGTCTATAGTAGACCAACAGAGTGGTCATTTTACAGTATTTCTCTATAATGCTTGAAGTTTAAATTTCAGGTATGTCACAAAGAAAATGAATGTATACATGTAACTAGAATACCATAAATTCCTGATTATGATAATGAAAGGGAAGAGATGCACAAATAATTGAAAAGATATGGATAATCAAAGAACATGGTGGCTGTTGAGTACACCTATAGAAATTTACAAACATGCACAGTGTCCAGTTTGTCTAATTAATTTCATAATCACTAACACTTGCAGAGAAAGCATACTGAACATATGTGCGTTTCATTTTTATCTACAATGTTTATATGAAACATTTTTTCCTCCAACAAATATTTAGGAAGTTAGGCTCAAGATACGCGCATAACCACATGTGGATCTTCATGTAAAGTGGTCATTAAAATTGACCGATATAAATTGAAACTGATAAGGCTTGACAATATTTTGAGAAGTTTTCAAATATCAAATTTCATGAAAATCCATCCAGCAGTTCTTGAGTTGTTTCAAGCACAGAGACATGAAGTGAACATAACATCTACTCTAAAGGACGGCAAATCTACCTGAAAAAAAGGCACATGGATAAGCCACAAACTGGATATTCTTCCAACACAGCCTATTATCAATATTTAGGCCTAAAAATTTGATACACTCTAAGTTAGTCGGTAAATTTTGATCAATATTATTATGCATATTATGATCCTCATAGTCCATTAAAGTGAAGTGGAGAGTGTGGGTTTTATGAATATTTAATTTTAACAGATTGGTTCTGAACCATGTATTAATATTGCAAAATATTCTGGTCATGGTTTATTTGTAGTCAGCGTGTTCCGGATTAGTCACAATTATACTTGTATCATCTGCATATAAGAATATGTTTGTTCCATCAATTGAAACCTTAGTTATATCATTTATATACAAGAGGAAGATAAGTGGGCCAAGAATTGAACCTTGGGGTACACCAAATTTTACTTCTGCCCAACTACATGAGCTATTAATAGAACTGTTAGGGCCAAGGGTTACTCTTTGATATCTTCCATTCAGGTAAGATTTAATTAAGGCACCAAACTTGCTGGTTATTCCATAAAACTCGAATTTTTTGATAAGTATATCATGATTGACACAATCAAAGGCTTTGTGTAAGTCACAAAATATTCCTCCAACAAACTGTCTATTATTCATTGCTTTTAGTATTTCCTCTATTAATTTGACAGATGCTTTTTCTGTAGGTGAATTAGGTCTAAAACCATACTGATTATTGTCCAATATATGATTACCATCTATATGTTCATAAATTTATTATATATAACCCTTTCAAAAACCTTAGAAAAGGCTGACAATAATGAAATAGGCCTATAGTTGGCTGGTTCATGTTTATTACCACTTTTGAAACCCATGGTTTTCTTGCCATCTTCTCAACTTTACCAACCAATTCGCTAATAGTATCTAACATGCACTCTTTTATATTGTTCCACTGCACTTCAGCATTTCTACTTCCACTTTCAATTGCATCGAGTTTCTCTTCTAGGGTCTCCTGCACACTTTGTCTTTGAGCATATAACTCCAAATCCCATCTAGGTCTGCGCTTTTGGAATCTTATAATTTTCTTCAACCTGGTTTGAAACTTGGCAACCAGTAAGTTGTGGTCAGGGTCAATATCTGCCCCAGGCAGCGTCTTCACATCCTTCACACTGTTTCTGAATCGATATTTCATAAGGATGTAGTCCAGCTGATGCCGCCTCCAATCCCCAGGTGCCTTCCATGTGTAAAGTCTTCTCTTTGGCTTCTTGAACCAAGTGTTGGTAACAGTCAGTCCATTTCTTTCACAAAAGTCAATAAGCAGTTGACACCTGTGATTCTGTCTTCCTAGTCCATGTGATCCAACAATATTCTGATATGCTTCATCTCCAACAGTGCTATTCCAGTCTCCTAATATGATGCTGTTTGTGTCACCTCTTCCATCTTCCTGAAGAATTTCTTCAATTGTGTCATACACTTTTTCCACTTCATCATCTTCATGCTCTGATGTTGGCATGTACACTTGCATAATGAGTATATCTACTGGTTCCACCTTTAACTTCAGAGCAATAATTCTGTCATTACAAACAGTCTTCTTAACAACACTCCTCACTACACTTTTATGCACCACTATTGCCACACCTCTTTCAGCCCGTTCACCTCCAGAATAATACACTGTATGATCACCACCTCTTATTTCACCTTGTCCTTTCCATCGCACTTAACTGACACCTCATTCTTCTGCATTTCCGTTTTCAAATTCTCCAATTTGCCTGCTTGATTCAAGGTCCTTACATTCCATGTTCCAATCTTGTAGCCATGATGATCCTTCTGATCTTCGCACTTTTTCTTGTAACGCCTTCATGACATTTCCTCTAGAAACACTCCTCCCCGGAGATCTGATTGGGGGAGTAGTTTACCTCCGGATTGTTTTGTCTCCAGAGGAAACATCTCGCATACTTAGTACCTCTGTTTTTGGAAAGAGACTATCCAGGAAAAGTGATAATGTGGTAGTTTTTCCATTTGCTTTCCACAGCGCAGTACAACAGCCATTCAAACAACCCCCCCAATTACTAACTTGTTAACTCCGGCTGATGACACTTCTCGGAAATCGCGGTTGCGTTTTAGTTGCCAGTTTCCTTGGTGTACGCCTTGCCTTAGTGAAGAAGCGTGCAACTAAATTGAAAGAGGTTAGGCTACTATTTTTGTGTTTTCTTGCGAAATATATATGTCGTCGCACGGTCCTCTGTCATCCATTGACTGCACAGTGTCAGTAAAATAATAGACAACTCGACAAAACTTACAGTTTCAATGTTGATATATATGTGAAAATTAATACCAACGTACAAAACCTATTGGACAGTTTCAGAGAGAGTGAATGGCCGGTAGAGGATTTATGACGTCACCTCACCTCTAGTATGACAAAGTAAATGTGTAGTTATATTTCGCCAAATTAAGATGTACATTCGCCGACCTAGGAGTCTAACCAGAGCGAAAATAATATTTGCTACAATTGTTGGCATATTTGGAGGCGTATATATTTGGAAACCACTGTTAAGAGAAGAACTGAGTAAAAAAAAAGCCGAACAACCTGAGATAAAATGAAGTACATAATATTTTGAACAGTTACCATCATATAAGGTAAAGAAAGTTCTCTCATACCGTATTTACGCATGTATAGGCCGCACATCTTTTGCCAAAAATTAGAGAGGAAAACTGGGGTGCGGCTTATATTCGAATTATTTTCGCTAGTTGCGGACTTAGGAATGTTAAACGTTGCCAAATTTCGGAATAATTTCTACTCCTGAAATAATATTCCAATAAAATTATTTTTTCTATAATTTCTGTCTGAAAATTGTGCTGCGGCCTATACACGCACGCGGCGTATACATGCGTAAATACGGTATTACCTGCGGCTGTATGGGTTCAGTAGTGGTCAAGGGAAAAACCGCTGAGGATGACCGTGGTTAGGTGAAATTGTCGATATATTAGTATCATCCGGCCGGGGCCGCGCCATAGCTCAAGAGGTTAGTCGCTTGCTTTCCACCGCGGCGGCCCGGATCCCGGGTCTGGTCAAGTGGGATTTGTGGTGGACAAAATGGCGCTGGGGCAGGTTTTCTCCGAGTACTTTGGTTTCCCCTGCCAATCTTCATTCCACCAATTGCTCCACAGTTACCCTCGCCCATCATCGGGCTGGTACAATACGCCAGAAGTGGCCACAGTACAACGGACTTAGTCCCACCCCACTAGAAATAAAAAAAATAATCCAGCCCACCACAGGTGCAAAAGAATTCATAGGAAGTAAACGTGCCTAACACAACCTTATAAACTACCCAACCCCCTTCCCCATCTGTTATGATTATGAATATGAAATCTAAACGCCCTCAAGATGGACATAATACAAAGGGAAGATACCTGCCAAGTGATTTGGAAACGTTCACCAAATAAGGTCAGTTTGAATTTCCGTCCTGTATATTATGAGTAGCTTAGTGATCATCACACATACATTTTACCTTGTATATTTCATAATCTCAATAGTTGATACAAAGTTTTGAAAGAGAGAAAATATTACCCAACATGTGATGAAAAGTTGTAAGAAATGGAAATTAGCTTGATATGTCAAAGATGTGGACAATAAAGTAAAAGTAAAGCTGGCCCTATGCATAATTAGTTAAGGACCACACCATGAAGATGTATGGGAAATGCATGTATTGCTATGCCATTCTTAACCTCGTTAGTATATACATACATACATAAATACATTCACAACCATATGTATGTATGTATATATATATATGGTTGTGAATGGCCAGCTTGACACCCCTGCTACTTTATGCTTGGGGGGAACAGTACTGAATCAAATCCCAGCTGATTGTGTAGCCTGTGGCCTAGTTGATACTAGTTTGATTCCAAATGTATGGAGTATGAATAAATTGGTAAGGGAGGAGAACAAACTTAGCAGCATATTTTTAGACAGTTATGTGATGTGATGATAGGTGAATGGAACTGGCCCAGGATCTTATTCAGTGATGGGCTTTGACATTAGTGACACTGATCTTTCTAGATTGTTGGATGATTTCTTAAAATAAGCATACCCAAACTGCCAGTTTCTGAATATTCTGCTTATTTGTGAACTTTGTGAAAAAATATTATTTGTACAGTCATTCTCCCCATAATTTTATTATATATGCATTCTGAAGAGGTTTGTGTTCTAAGAATCTGTTGTATTAACACATTTCTATATCTTATAATATAAAGGCAGTAGTTTCTTATATTTAACTTTAACCAGTACATTAATGTGAAGTGGATTCAGCTGGCTCAGGGATCAGGATAGAACATCTTGACGGTCTTGACAAGTCTTTGTGACTGAGGTAATGAATTGGGTTACGCAAAAGTAGGGAGTTTCTTGACCAGTGAACTCTTCAAGAATATCATCTCATGCTGTGTAGTTAGTTATGTATTGTTAAATTTGATTTAAAAAAGAAATCTCCCCCTTCAATAAGGGAAAATGTACACTATCAGTGATAATTGGAATCAGAAGTATGGTGATGCATATTGTGAAAAATTTTGGATACAAGACACAAAACTTCAAGATATCAATATAATTCTGATTACATATAACAGATCCTCAACTTTTGTTTTAATTATATTTATGGAATTTTTCTCTATGTTACTGCAGATTGCTATGCTACAACCTGGACAGTTGCGGGTTTGATGTCTGATGAGGTCATTAAATATTTTAATTGACCTAACCCTTTCTGGGGATAAAGGGTGGATGGCACTAAGGCTGACAACCTCACTGCCATCTGTGAGCTGATTGTCTATAAAATGTGGGAGCCTCGATGTCTCACAATCCTATGGGCCTCCATGACCTGTTACAGGGATAGTTTACTATGTTACTGCAGGCTTGTAAATGACTCATGTGATCTTATATATTTTCAGTGAAAAAGAACATAAAGAGTGACTGTATTTTGTAGTTGAAAGTTTGTACTGCACACAAAAGAATGTTACTGTACGTCCTTGTATATTTGAATTGTATTTTATATCCTGCCTGTTGCCCTGGGAAGCCTTCAGGATACATAATTATCTTGTAGTTGAAACGCTCCAATACAGTGACTTGAAAACAATAAAGTATTAACTAGTATTAACCTCTCGCCTGTTGGCATGTCAAGTTTGCAGGTTGCTACTGTGCTGGCTTATCCACCTCTTCTTCCCCTTGTCATTATTGTGAATGTGGGTAGTTTACAGGGTGTGGGTTACAACTGAGGGATGGGCGCCAGTAAGCTTATTGTAAGGCCACGCCATAGCTCAAGCGGTTAGTCGCTGGCTTTCCACCATGGTGGCACGGGTTCGATCGCGGGTCTGGTCAAGTGGGATTTGTGGTGGACAAAGTGTTGCTGGGGCTTGTTTTCTCCGAGTACTTCGGTTTCCCCTGCCAGTCTTCATTCCACCAATTGCTCCACAATCACCCTCACCTATCATCTGGGGTGGTACAATAGGCCAGAAGTGGCTGTGGTACAAGGGACTTAGTCCCATCCCACTAGTAATATAAAAAAGCTTATTGTAAAGGCTCACAATTTGGGAAGAAAAGGGGGGCATGAACTGGAAACTACAGGTGATAGGTGTGCTAGTTCTGCACAAGGGAGATGAGATTCTCTTTCAGGGGCATCCAGGCCTCACTCTAGTGGGGAGACGCTATTCACTACACAACACTGACTGATGAAACCTTTTAATATTTCAGTCAATAACATTGGTTCTTATGTTAGTTAGATTCGGACTTGAGAAACGTACTTAATATGATTGGTGACTGTTCTAGTAACACACTTCAAAATTATTTTACTTTCAACTTAAACACGTAAACCAAGCTTTGAATGACACTAATTTTTGGGGCTGGATCCTTGGTGAGTTATTAAGCGACTGCTTTGAGGCAAGAAGTCTCCCCAGCTTCAGCAGAAACGTGCAGAAACTGTCAAGTATAACTTTACCAAAGGATCCCGCCGGTCAACTTTTGAACTGAATTTCCAGGAAAACACAGCAAGATGCTTCCTGCCTTGTTTTTGTAGCAGTGAAGCAGGCCCTGTTTCTTGAAATCAAGAATCGGGCTAAGTCACCCTTGAATATTCCTTACTACATCCTAAGCGTAATTACTATAATTAAAAAGAATCTTAATTACAAATAAAGCTGGTGGTGTCAGTGGTATGGCTACAAGCTAATGCTCTGGACTCATATTTGCGAGGTGCTTGTTTTGAATTTCAGCTGGGACGCTGGCTATCCAAACTGAAGTTATTTTTTGTGGTTTTCTTCAGTCTTCCCAGGCAAATGCCAGGATAGTACCTTGATTAAGCCACGACTGTTTCCTTCCAGATCTTTTTTAATTTGTGAGTCATCCTACCACCCAACCTTGTATAGCCTCAACATTAAAAGTACCATTAAATAATCCACTATAAAAATAAAGTATTAATTCTCTAAATAACCGCTGCACTTTTTTTCCATAAAGAAGAGAGAGGATCTTATGAATTGAGGAATATCATGATTTAAATGGCTCACCTAGTAATAGGGTAATTGAGTGAAGAAATAATAAGCTGGATATGTAGAGAAAACTGGGTTCACCGACGTTTATTTCAAAATTTCTATATGAATGATTCAGGTAAAACAGTCTAATTGGAAAAACTGTAGGATGTGGGAGTAAATATTAAAAAAAAATCCTACAGAAATAGATTATGAAATTGTGGACCAGACTGAACTGGCTCAGAGTGGCTCAGGATCATCTTTTATGGCATTCTTTGTGTTGGTGTTATTCAGATTCTGTTGCCAGAGAGCTAGTCCCTCATCCAACTGAAAACTGTAATGTGTTTACTCTGGCAATTTTAGGTTAGGGGTATGCCAGTGGTTTATTATGTTTCAGTTGTCACTTGACTAGATTTTACCTGGGTTGTAAACAGTTAACCAGGCAAACACTATTTATGCAGTTTTATTACAAAATCTTTAATTTCAGATTTGGAGTCTCATAAAAAATAATTTTTAATTTCAGGCATAAGCAATTGAATTTGCAGAAGAGGGGAAAAGTGTAAAATCAAGTCTTTGGCATCAACATCTTTTAATATACAACATGAAGAGATCAGGACTATTCAATATAATTAATAGCCATCCTGCATTAATATTGGCTACAGGATTACTTTTTACAGGAGGTATGATATTTTCATACCGTAAATTGATACGTCCTGTTTTGGTTGAACAGAAGTACAGAGAAGCTCAAGATTATGCAGAATACTTATTTAATGAAGAATTTAAACAGAAAGTAGCAAACAAATCTGATTCTTAAGGAACACTCACGTTGTAGTATAAGATTATGAACAAAAGCAATGCAGTGGATATGAACACCTAGATGTGTATATCAAGAATAGAATACCATCAGTTGCAGTGGGTGCTGACTGCATTACTCCCTATGCATAACATTTCTCACACGAGAGGTGGATGTGTGTTTGTCCTTAATGTCCCTAGTGTATGTATCATATTGAGAACTTAATATTGTTATGTACTGATGTTATGAAGCACTCTTTGCATTCTGAATTGTATTATAATTATAACTGTTAATAAATTCTCCATTTAATTATTTGAAATGTTGTAAACAAATGTGGTCAGGTGGTAAGTACTCCTACTTCTCATTTGGAAGGTTCCAGTTTCACTGGCTGTACTGAGGCTTTATGTGGTTCTCCTGTCCCTCTAGACAGAATTGCAGGCTCTCCCTTCGCACTAGGCCATGACTGCTTCATCATTTCCACTTCATTATTCAGTAGTAACATTTGATAACTTATTAAGTAAACTATAACTAAAGAAATATTTGAAGTGTTACATTTTATGGCAGACTTAGTTCTTTCTGCCCATGAACTACTAAGGCAGTTTTTGCTATGTTTGCTACTGTCTGAAATAACCTTTGCTTTAAAGCTGATATTATACTGTACATGATTCAGCAGCATGCAAAATATTTCGTTGTCAACACAGTTTCATATATTATGAACAAAAGTGTGTCCTGTATTCATCAGCATCAGTAATCTGTCAGACAACAGGTCCACAGTCTCTTCCAAAATAATTCCTCCACTTAATGCGATCTAGAGCTTTCTCCTTCAAATGACAGTATCCTCTTCTGTCCCCAAGGTCATCCAGCATCTTCTTACGTCTTCTTGTCACTTCTATCCGCCCCATCTTGTATTACTACATTTTTAAGAAGCAGCTTGTAGCTGTAGTTTTGACAGCAAAGGGGGGTAAACAAGGTGCAGCAATTCAGGGCTACGGCCTCAGGCTTACAGTAGTAATGTTTAAGGTTCTAGGGATGCCAGCCACTGCATCGTGTATGAGGTATATTGGAAAGTTCCTGGGCTAGGTCAAAAAAGAAATGTTAGCTACTCAATTTTGGCAGCCATCTCCTTCATAATAGTCACCTTGGGAATGTATACAGCGATCCCATTAGTTTCTCCAAGCTCCAAAAGCACCATGGAACTCATTTTCCTCAATACTGTTGAGTACCACTTGCAATTCCCTTTGGATTTCAGACACTGTTTCAAAACATCATCCCTTCAGTTTCATTTCCAATTTGGGAAACAAAGTGAAATCACAGAGGGCTAAGTCCAGAGTGTAGGGGGGATGGGGAACAATAACCATGTTGTTAGTCACCGTCTCTGTTGTTTCCAGGGATGTGTGGGTGGGTGATGAAGGAGCCAGTTGTGGTTATGCCAGAGGTCTGTCTTTTTCGTCGCACGTTTTCTCTCAAGTGTCACAAAATGTCATAGTATGAGTAAAAGTCGGAGTTGACCGTAGTGTTGGGAGGAACAAATTCACAGTGAACAATCCCCTTCATGTCGAGAAAAATGAGTGTGCTCTTTGTTGAACTTCAGATCTGCCATGCCTTTTTTCCCTGAAATAGCTCCTCAATTATCCTCACCAGGCTAAGTGGACCCCATCCCAGACCCACCACTTCTTAGAAAATCTGGTAGTGCCGGGAATCGAACATGGACCTCTGGATCTGTAGCCAGGAACTCTGACCACTAGACCACAGAGGCGGTTCTTTTATTTTTATCACTGGAAATAATTTAAGCAGAGAACATATTTATACTCATATGTACATGTGGCCAAATACACTGGCTTCACTCTATCTTGTTGGGGTTATTTTGACTTGATACGAGGGTCGTACTGAAAGTCATGAGCAACAATTTTTTGTAAAGTAACATGCTTTATTATTGACAAACCAAATACACCACCTCAATCTACAGACCTTTCTGTTATTTTTCCACATAATCGTCACTTCTTTGTACACATTTCTCCTGGCGTTCTGGGAGTTTGAAAATTCCCCTTCTGTAAAATTCCGTTCCAGCCATCCGAAGACACTGATGCACTGCTTTCTGAATTGCCTCCCTTGTCTCAAAATGTCCACGCAGCTGATCCTTCACAAATCCGAAAAGATGGTAGTTGGAGGGTGCCAGATCAGGGCTATAGGAGGGGTGTGGAAGAACTTCCCACCCCCATCTTTGCAATTGCTTCCAATGTGAGGCGAGAGTTGTCATGCAGGATGATGATGTTTCGTCCTGGACGTTTATCACGCAATGCACGACGGAGCTTGTGCAGCGTCTGGACATAACGAGCAGCATTGATGGTTTGCCCAGGTTCCAGGAATTCGGCCAGAATAAACCCCTCTGCATCCCAGAAGGCTGTGCCCGTCACCTTCGCAGCTGATGGCACGGCACTGTCTTTGCCTTCTTTTTTGATGGAGAATGCAAATGGTGCCATTCCATACTCTGTTGTTTTGTTTCAGGCTCAAAATGGTGAAACCAGCTTTCGTCACCTGTCACAATACAGAGCAAAAAATCATCACCTTCGTGTCGATATCTCTGCAGCATTCTGAGGTTATGGATTTTCGCTGACCTTTGTGGTCTCGGTCAATAACCGTGGGACCCAACAAGCACAAGCTTTCCTATAGCCCAAGCTTTGAATCATCTCCTGTACTGCACTGTGCCCTATTCCAAGTTTTCGGGCTATTGTGTCCACAGTCACATGCCTAACATCTTGAATGATCTCATCCACTCTTTCCTTGTTTCGTTCAGTTGAGGCTGTTTGAGGATGACTGCTCCGAGGCTCATATTCGATGCTGGTGTTCCCATCTTTAAAATGTTTCACCGATCCTCGAACACTGCTCGTACCCATGCACACACTTCCATAAGCACGATGAAGTCTCTGGTTAATTTCTGCAGCAGGGATTTCCTCTTTCACAAGAAATTTGATGACAGCACACTGGCGAAACAACATATCGTTGTCGGCCATTTTGTTAGGAGTGATACTGGTCACGTGATGCAAGCTATTGACGTCACAAGACACTCAAGGTTAACACAACAGCTGGTTCCACCTACCACCATACTCTCTTTCGTCTGCTGTTCCCCAGGTTGCATGCAAAAAAGAGTTGCTCATGACTTTCGGTTCGGCCTACATAATTAACTCTTTGGGACAATGTTTCTGGAGTGTTGGAAACTGAAGGGTTTCATGCCAAAAGGCTATGCAGTGTATTCCTAATTACCTCGTATGCGGCTTATCTGAGACGTTTCTTAGGCATGTTCACAGCCCTGCAGGGTGAAAATCAAGTTTAATCTATCTCTCTAACTATATTACATGAAATAACTTTATCACTGGATGGATTTTTGTGAAAATTGGTATTGGGCGTAGTCTTATAAAAAAAACTGTCCAGCCACATCAGTCTTCATTTAGAGACAACTTCAATGGCCACTTTACATGAAGAACTTCAGTTTGCAGACACTTTGCTACAGTACAGTACAGTACATGGGGCCTATGAATATGATATTACAGCCATGAGGAGGAGTCAAACAACACTCAGAATCAAACATTAGAGACTATTTATTAAATTAAATTAAATTCCCCTTCATTATCATGGATATTGAATACTATTGTTTTGAAGAAAGCAGTCTTCTGGGATTTGGCACCGTGTATATGTGGTGCCAAATCCCAGAAGACTGCTTTCTTCATAGTCACTGCCGTGAAAGCCTCAAATCTTACATACTATTGTTTTGTTTCATAAACTTGGTAGAAACAAGTTATATTTTATAAAGTAGTCTGAAATAAGTAAAAATGAAATAATGTGCTGTAATTTGTGTTAAAAAAAAAGCTTCATATTTTTGTTCCAAAAGTCTTGGCAAGACATAAGGATCATACTATTTTCAGAAAAACTAAAAAGGACCATGGTTAGACCAAGTCCTGCATTGGAATAAAACAGTTACCAAATCTGATGTATGAGAAACTGATCTAACAACACTGTTTATTATACACCGAGTATTTTGCAAGCTCACAATCTGGTGGAAGAGCTGCATGGCCCTCGCTGTGACGTTGGGCCAACCTAACACAATATAAACTATTCATAAATTATCACAGTACCTAAGAACCATATCAAAGTGACATACACAATGCACCAAAGTAAAGTTTTAATTCTTGGTTTATATGGATCCTTAGGGATGTTTTGGACTTCATAATGAATGAAATTTCTAATGCATCTACCATGAACGGCCATTTACAAAATACTATGACATGTCACTTGAAAGTTGGAGTGAGGCATCCGTTGCCAGACAACGGCTTGTTGATCATATTTCTGTTACAACAAATAGCAGTGAACTCATCATTGCAAGTGTAAACACATTCCTGTGACAATGTGTACATAAGTAAACAGTTACTATGGATACCAAAGAACAGAATTCTTCAAGGAGGTGTGTTCTATACAAGCTGCGCAGCAAATATATGGAAGACCAGACCAGGAGTGTATATATAAAGTTTGAGAGGACTGAGGACTAACATCGGATGAGTCAGTAGTTAAAGTGTTGAAGATGTTATTTCATGTGTTATAGTTACAGTAATCTAGAGTGTTATAATCACTTGTACTTACGACATGCGAGTATCCAATAAATCGATTCACAAATCCAAATCCCATCAATAAGTCACAAAAACACGTGGCAGCTGGTGTCAGAAGTAATTGGATTGGAGTGATCAAATTGTTGGACTTAAGACTGCATTGAGTACTTATATCGCCACATTATGGGGATGCAACAGACAATGTAAATGTTGGCTGAAATGAAGGCTGATACAAACGCCAACCAAGAAGAAATCAGAACGAACCAAGATGATTTGCTGGCAGGTTTTGAAGTCAAAATAGACACCAATAGAAAAGCCAACCAAGAAAACATGCAATGAATGCTGACCAGGATGAATAAAAACTAGGAAAGGATGAGTGCATGTCTGAGAGAGGAAATTCAATCTGGCCAAGTGGAAATGAGATCCACAGTTAAGTGCCATCAAGAGAAGATGGATGCCTGGATAGCAAACAAGAGGGATGATCAAAAAGAGAGGAGTGTCCACCAAAAAGTGATGGAGTCCAGAGCAGAGCATCAGGAGGTCCCTAAGGAAGAGGCTGCAATGAAAGCTTCTGGAGCAATGAAGCAGCATCTGGACCAGAATCTACCTGCAGGGTGTTGCAGAGAGCTGAAGGGATGGATGCATGGGAAGAGAAAACAGTTGTGTCAGGAAGGCGGCAAGGGAATAAACAACCTAGGTAGCAGACAGCTGCTATATCTGAGGAAGAAGAGAACCACGAACGGCATCAGAGTTTGGAGCTCATGACAGCCAGCACATCTGAGAAGCAGAGGAACACACTACAAAACCCTCAGGACCCAATATGAGATAGTGAGAATGAGGATCGTAAAGCTAAAAGCCGGATGTTATGTCTCATCTTGAAAAATCAAGAACTGGGCATATGGAGGGGTCGGCCAAGAACAACATACTAGCACTACTAGCACTGTAAACATGTTCCCATGGCAATCTGTATATAAACAAACAGTTACTACAGATATAAATGAACAGAACTCTTCAAGGAGGCATGTTCTATCCCAGCTGCGCAGCAAATATACGAGAAGACAGACCAGGAGTGGATATATAAAGAGTTCCAGAGGAGATTGACGATGGATGATTCAGTAGTTAAAGTAATTACAATGTTATTTCATGTGTTATAGTTACAGTAATCTTGAGAGTACTTATGACATGCGAGTATCCAATAAATCGAATCACCTATCAAAACCCATGTACAAATCACTAACACACATGTTAAAAATACTATTAGGAGAGCTGTTAGAACAAAGAATAAGAAGGATTAATTTGTCATTTTGTCAGTAGTATTTATTATGATTCCTCACATCCATAATCAACATTTCACAACTTGGCAGTTATAACAAATATATTTTATGACAATCTTCAACAGTAAATAAAATTCAACATATATTTATAAGTATATGGTCATCAACGTTTTTCATTTTTATGAGTTTCCTAAGTATCATACATCTCATTTTAGACCACTTTCAGTCCTGTTCTAGCATCTAAGATTTTGAAAGAACAACAAATTATAAACATCATTCTAGCATGAATCTCATATTATTATTGACTCTACTTTGGTTTCTGAAGCCAATAATTTCAGAACCTGAAAGTAACAAATACCAATTCAGAAAATTTGTACCCAGTGCAGCATTGCTCCAAATGTTTGTGTGTTAGATCAGAATCATGTTTAAATGTCCATATTTAATCAGTTTACATTACTTGTCCATCAGGTATACCATTAGAAAGTATAAAGAAATTTTCATCTTCTGCAATCCTGGGATGGAATTACAGTTAAAATATCTTCCCTTTTGTGTTATAAGACCAAATTAGATACAGCTATATTTTGTTTGCACTGTGGTACACATAATTAAAATGTGTATGTATAAGGGAGGGTCAGTAAATAGGTCACAGATGGAAGTAAAACAGCTCTAATGGATGTAATATGTTTTCTGTGTAGCAACAAAGTACAGCTTCATGTCAATCTAGGTAGGAGACATGCACATGTATGCTCAGAGGCTGGTTTCAATAGTCTAAATAGCGACCATGTTTGAGGAGTATATTACCAACGAACAGCATTCAGTCATGCGCTTTTTTTTTTTTTGTGGGCAATAGGACTCGATGCAAAGGATATTCATAATGAAATGTTTTGTGTTTATGGTGGGAACTATTTGTTGTGTAAAGCGGTACACAGGTTCAAGGTTGCAGGTTCAAGTCCCGATGAGGTCATTGGGTTTGTTCAATTGACCTAATCCTTCCAGCCGCACTATGGCCCTGGGATTGACTGAGCCTCTAACAGAAATGAGTACCAGGAATATTCTTGGAATGTTCTTAGGGGTAAAGGGCGGCCGGCGCATAGGGCTGACAACCTTGCTGCCATCTATGAGTTGACTGCTTAGAAAATGTGGGAACCTCAACATCTCACAACCCTATGGGCCTCAACGGCCTGTTACAGGGATACCTGCTTAACACTATATCTACATGGTGCCACATCCCAGAAGACTGCTTTCTTCACCTTTACTTTTATTTACAAGTATGGTTTAAAAACTATGTTAAAATCTAGAACCAATTTGGTGTGTGTCCTTTATACTCCTTTTAAAGGAAGATGAGTGAAATGCTACATTTGGAGCATAGCTCTGTATGGGGCTGAAACATGGACACTTAGGGCAGTAGATCAGAAANTTGTGTCCTTTATACTCCTTTTAAAGGAAGATGAGTGTATACTACAGGCCATACTGTGTTGTTATAACAATGTAACCATGACATGGTAACTCATCTTCCCTTAAAGAGAAGCAGTATAAAGGACATGAACCAAATTGGTACTAGAGTTTAACATAGTTCCTAAACCATACATGTGAATATACTTATTATAATAATTTATAAATATTTTAACACATTCATGACATTATTATAGTAGTTTCCACATGTATTGATGTATCCTTCTGAAGATGGTCGTTCCTACCAAAACATCTAAAGGATGAAGGATTTAAAACAATAAGAAGAAGAAATCAATCACCCTGGACGGTGTTAATAATCTTTTACACTATTACTAGTGTGACAGACCAGTATTAACTAAGTTAAAGATATTTGGTGGATAGAAAATAAATGTCATGTAAGTCTGAACTTACAAATGGTGCTGACAATTTCTGCTTCCTCAAAGTGTCTATGTCTACACTGTAAAAAATAAAACATTTTAATAACAAACTAAAGTATCATGTATGATGTATGATGGGAATTTTAAAGCATGTAATATTTTACTTATTTCTCTCTTTCTTGTATCAACATTTCACTATACTATAAATAACATGACTGTAACCTGAAAAAAGCTCATGCTGATGCTAAAATTAAAAACATCAAATAAACAAAGCATTAAATGCCATTTGTAATACTTCTCTTCTGCACAGTTGATCTCACAGACTGGATTCACAAGTCATGAACACTTCCACTATTACTGGCAGATGATTTATGAAGATGTTCTTTTGGTTCCTGAAATAATAATAATAACAACAAATTACAATTTGACCTAATCCTTCCGGCCGCACTATGGCCCTCATATCGACTCAGCCTTTAACAGAAATGGGTACCAAGAATTAATTAAATAATTTTCCTGGGGAGTAAAATGCAGCCAGTGCATAAGGCTGACAACCTTACTGCCATCTCTGAGCCGACTGTCTAGATGATGTGGGACCCTCAACGCCTCACAAACCCATGGGCCTTCACGGCCTGTTACAGGAATAGCTTTACTTTTTACCTAAGACTTACACAATTTGAAGCTACAGCCCAATTCAAGTCCTGGTCTGCCTTATTCCTAACAGAGATTTTTCTAAATTCTTTTAGGGTCCCTTGGATGGGTCATCAGGCCACTGTCCAGAGAGAACACAAAATATTAGACATACGAAGGGGGACCCAAAAATAACCGGAACCGACCAGTTGCACGCGCATGCTTTGTAGTTACGAGTTGTGCTGCTAGGTGGTGTTAGCTGGGGGTCTCCCGCGACTGTTAGTGAGCTGGCGTCAGTCTGAGTTAAGTGGTTTGTCTGTGGTGCTCTGTTGTGTGCGTTCCTGTTTCAACCCTTTGGCGATTAGTGAGATGGCCGACCAGAAGGAACAA